AACCAGCCACTGCTCCCCAGATCTATCCTCCTCAATCATGGACTTCCTGCCAGGTTGCAATCCAGAGGGTCCTTCTCCTTCAATCTTTAACTGCTGTCGGATCATCTTTGCATTAATTGGAGGATGCAATTTGATTGGCATCCCATTATCAGTAACATCTACTCCAGCTTTCTGGCATAAAAGCTAAATCAGAGAACAGTGACCCAAACCAGAAGTGTTGCTATCAGAATGAGCCATATCATATATACTGTCTTGAAGAAGAATGGGTAGCTCCACCTTCCCTTTAATCATGATGGTATGGATCAAAACAGCTCTCATCAATATTACCTCTGCCTGGTTGGAAGAGGGCATGACATTGGAAACCACAAAATGGAACCAGACTCGGGCCTCACCATTTAGATGCCTCAACCACAGCAATTTAGGATTGACCTTATCTTTGGTCGTCTCCTATGTTTCACCAGGCTTGGCTATGGTTTGCAGAATACGCTCAGTTGCCCTCATCTTGGTCCAAGTTTCAAATTCTGGGTCCTGTCTCCTAGGTGGTATTTCAATCTTCTGCCAGTTCTTCTTAAAATCACAGCTGGCATGGTCTATATAATCATAGTGTCTGATCTTCAGAAGCTTCTGTATGGTATGGGCGTCATATTTCACTTTCTTGCCCCTCACCCAGCTGGTGAAAGTCCTCTTACCACCCTGATCACCATTATATGCATTAGCAAAGAATTCTCTTGCTATATTAGGGCTGCTGTCCACCAGGATCTCACCAAAAGTAACCCAATCCATTTTTACCAACTGGGCCTGAAACTCAGGATATTCATCCTTCTCCAAGATGAACTTCCTCTCCCTCACAAATGGTCTGGAAGAAGTTTTGGTACTATAACGAGCCTCATGTTCAACACTCCTCCAAAAATGTGCATCATAAGTAGGAGGTGGAGGTGTAGGTGCAGAAGCCCGAGGTTCCCTGGACCTCTTCTTTCCAGACTTCTTGGGAGGAGGTGTAGACATGATCCTGAAAATCAACAGAAATAATCAGTATGACATTTGAATTAATGGATCCAATTCCCAGATTTAGAATGGAATTAGTAGTGGAATTGAATCCAAAACATTCAAGCAAATACCCCACAATGCCCATGAATAGACCCTTTTAAATATGCATGCAACAGGGCCTGGGCGCTAAAACGTTCACACTGAGCGTTTTAGCGTCCTGGCCTTAAACGTGTAAAAAACTGGACAAGCGCTAAAACGGTGGGTGACCAGCGTTTTAGCGTCCGTGTTTTTCTGGGTAAAAACTGAACAAGCGCTAAAATGTTGGGTGACCAGCGTTTTAGCGTCCTTGCTTTTCTGGGTCAGGCATTTTAGCAAACACCTTGTGTGCGTGTGTGAAACTTCATTTGTGTAAAACGTGTGGGGATGCCTCTTTGCCCCAAAATAATTGAAAAACAGCATGAATTCACATACACAAACATACATTAATTAAGATAAACATGTAACTATAAATGTAGTTCATGAATTCAAATTGTGGAAACCTAAAGCAATATGAAATAAAAACAAGAATCATTCAAAAGGATGGGAGGAAAGAAGATATGGATACATACCTTGTTGTGATTACGAGGAAATGAAGGAGTGAATGGAGAAATGAGATGCAAAGCAAATTCGCGAGTTGGTGAGGAGAAAAGCAATTGAATGAGTGTAAAGTGAGAATGAAGAGGAGTGAGGAAAACCGTGTATTTCAAATTAAGTGACAGGGCGCTAAAACGGTGGTTTACCAGCATTTTAGCGTCCATGTCCAGAGAATTGCGCACACGTTGTGCAGCATCGCGCTAAAACGGTCATAAGGGACGTTTTAGCGCGGTTGACCAGAGTGCTTGCATTTGATTTATTGGGTGAACGCTAAAACGGTCAGTATGAACGTTTTAGCGCTCACGGCCAGAGAGTTTCATAGTGATGCAACTCTTGGACCGCTAAAACGTCCAGAATGGAAGTTTTAGCGCCCAGCACTTGTCAAAAATTTCTCTTAAGATTTGCAAAACTTGTTCCCCTTTCCTTCTTCATTTATTAATGGGGTATGAACATTAAAATTACATACCTGGTACAATGGGTTGCCTCCCACTCAGCGCTTGTTTAACGTCACGAGCCTGACGGGTATGATCTATTTTACCTCTAATAAGGCAACTGTCAGTAGTTGCCTATCCACAGCACTTCCAACATACAACTTCAACCTCTGACCATTTACTGTAAAACTTCTGTCTGAATCCAAAGAACTAATTTCCACAGCCCCATAAGGTTTCATGTCTTTCACCACAAAGGGTCCAGACCATCTAGACTTTAATTTCCCTGGAAATAGCTTCAACCTGGAATTGAACAGAAGAACTTGATCCCCCACCTTGAAATCCCTAGGTGTGATTTTCCTATCATGCCATAACTTGGTCTTCTCTTTATATAAACTGGCACTTTCATATGCTGAGAGACGAAACTCATCCAATTCATCCAGCTGTAGTAATCTTTTCTCTCCTGCTGCCTTTGAATCGAAGTTCAGAAACCTCACAGCCCACAATGCCTTGTGCTCCAATCCTACTGGCAAATGGCATGCTTTCCCAAACAACAGTTGAAATGGAGACATTCCAATAGGAGTCTTGAATGCTGTTCGGTATGCCCACAGTGTGTCATCAAGTTTCTTGGACCATTGAGTCCTAGCATTCCCAACAGTCTTCTCCAATATTCTTTTCAATTCCCTGTTGGAAATTTCAACCTGACCACAAGTCTGTGGGTGATACGGAGTGCTTATCTTATGCCTCACTCCATACTTAGCCAGAGCATACTCCACCATCCTATTATCAAAATGAGTTCCCCCATCACTGATTATAGCTCTAGGGACTCCAAATCTTGAAAATATATTCTTTCTCAGAAAAGCAATCACCACCCTGGAATCATTGGTTGGTGTGGCTATGGCCTCAACCCATTTGGACACATAATCAACTGCCACCAATATGTACTTGTTAGAGTAGGAAGATGGGAAGGGTCCCATAAAATCCATACCCCAAACATCAAATATCTCCACCTCCTGTATATTATTCAAAGGCATCTCATGTCTCCTGGAGATATTCCCAGTCCTTTGGCAGTTGTCACATGCCTCCACATACTTCTTAGCATCTTTATAAAGAGTGGGCCAATAGAAACCGCTCATCAATACTTTTGCTGCAGTTCTCTCTCCTGCAAAATGTCCACCATAAGCAGAACCATGACAATGCCACAATACATCTTTCTGCTCCTCCTCTGGAATACATCGTCTGATCACGCTATCTGAACACCTGTAAAAGAGATATGGCTCATCCCAAATGTATCTCCTCACATCATGTAAAAACTTCTTCCTCTGTTGCCATGTAAAATCCTTAGGCATCATCCCAGCAGCTTTATAGTTGGCAAAATCAGCAAACCATGGTGGGGTACTAATGGATAGAACTTTATCCCCCACCATCTCCGTAACAGCACGTATTGCCAGTACCTGTTCATCAGGAAACTCTTCTCTGATCACTACCTCTGGTCCTTCTTGAAATTCTTTTTCTGTAATCCTGGATAAGTGATCAGCTACCAAGTTCTCAACCCCCTTCTTGTCCTTGATCTCTACCTCAAACTCTTGTAGGAGTAACATCCAGCGGAGTAACCTGGGCTTGGCATCCTGTTTGCTTAACAAATACTTTAAAGCTGCATGGTCAGTATAAACAATAACTTTTGACCCTAGCAGATATGGCCTGAATTTGTCAAATGCATACACAATAGCCAGTAATTCCTTTTCTGTGGTAGTGTAATTCCTTTGTGCTTCATTTAGGATTTTACTGGCATAGTAAATGACATGCAATAATTTATCTACTCTTTGGCCTAATACCACTCCTACAGCATAGTCACTGGCATCACACATTAATTCAAATGGTAATGAAAAATCAGGTGCCATCATGATAGGTGCAGTGGTCAACTTTTCTTTCAAAACATGGAATGCATGCAGACATTCATCATCAAACATAAATTCTTGGTCCTTAACCAACAACTTACATAAAGGCTTGGCAATTTTTGAAAAATCTTTAATAAACCGCCTATAAAATCCTGCATGACCAAGAAAGCTCCTCACACCTTTGACATTAACAGGTGGAGGGAGTTTCTCTATCACAGAAATTTTTGCCCTATCCACTTCTATTCCTGTTCTAGACACCTTGTGCCCAAGAACAATTCCTTCAGTCACCATGAAGTGACATTTCTCCCAATTCAAAACCAGATTACAATCTTGACATCTTTTTAAAACAGAATCCAAATTTTCCAGACATACATCAAAATTAGAACCAAATACAGAAAAATCATCCATAAAAATTTCTATGCATTCTTCTACCATGTCAGAGAAAATGGAAAGCATGCACCTTTGAAAAGTGGCAGGAGCATTGCATAAGCCGAAAGGCATCCTCCGGTATGCGAAAATTCCATATGGGCATGTAAATGCAGTCTTCTCCTGATCCTCTGGGGCGACAGCTATCTGATTGTAACCTGAGTAGCCGTCCAAGAAACAGTAGAAGGCATGTCCTGCCAATCTTTCCAACATCTGGTCCAAGAAAGGAAGTGGAAAATGATCCTTCCTTGTTGCCTTGTTCAGCCTCCGGTAATCAACGCACATTCTCCAGCCAGTGATTGTCCTTGTGGGAATCAGTTCATTATTCTCATTTTTCACCACAGTCATCCCCCCTTTCTTGGGTACTGTTTGAACAGGACTCACCCAAGCACTGTCTGAGATAGGATAAATCATTCCAGCATCAAGTAGCTTCACAACCTCCTTCCTCACTACCTCTTTCATAGTGGGGTTGAGTCTCCTCTGTGGTTGCCTCACTGGTTTGATTTCCTCTTCCATCAATATTTTGTGGGTGCAAAAGGAAGGATTGATACCCTTAAGATCTGAAAACTGCCATCCAATAGCCATTTTATTCTTCTTGAGTACCTTAATCAACTTCACTTCTTCACTCTCAGATAACATTGCATTGATGATTACTGGATATGTTTGATCATCCCCAAGGAACACATACTTCAGATTTGAAGGTAGTTCTTTAAGCTCTACCTTAGGTGCTCCCACAGGAATGTCATCAATCTTCTTTTCAAGCTCTTCCACTTCTGGTTCCTCTTGGTAATCTTCTGTACTTGTCTCCTTTTCTAATCTTTCTTCCTCAACTGAAAATTCTTCTTCTCTACTCACTTCTTCCACAACCTCCTGTATCACATCTAATCTGAAACAATCCCCCACATCAACAGGATGTTTGATGGCTTCAAAAACATCAATTGTAACAGTTTCCTCATCCACCCTCAACAGCAACTTCCCCTATTCAACATCTATCAGAGATCTTGCAGTTGCTACAAAGGGTCTTCCTAACAATAGAGGACTTTCAGTATCCTCTTCCTCCATGTCAAGTATCACAAAATCCACAGGAAAAATGAACTTGTCTACCTTTACCAGGACATCTTCAACCACACCTTCAGGCTTCTTAATAGATCTATCTGCAAGATGCAAGATAAGATTAGTTTCCTTCAGGGTGTTGATTCCCAAGGCTCTACATACCGTCAATGGCATCAGATTTATGCTGGCCCCCAAATCACAGAGTGCCTTCCCCACTTCCACATCTCCTATAGCAATAGAAATGCTGAAGCTTCCTGGATCTTGCAATTTTGGTGGAAGCTTCTTCTGGATCAGGGCACTACATTCTGCTGTCAGGGCCACTGTTTCACCATCATTCAATTTTCTCTTCTTAGTAAGGAGATCTTTCATGAATTTGGCATAGTGAGGCATGTTCTCCAAAGCCTCAGAAAATGGAATGTTAATTTGCAAATTTTTGAAAATATCCAGAAATCTTGCATAGTGCTGTTTCTGAATCTCCTTCTTCAACCTCTGAGGGTAAGGAACTTTGGCATATGGAGACAAAGTGACTGGCTGGTCCTGCTTGTCAGCCATCTTCTTCTTCTCCCACTTCATTATCTTCTTGGGCACAACATCATTTTCAACTACCACCTCTTTTTCTTCCTTATCTTCCTTCACTGTTTCTTTTTCTTTATTTCCCTTCACCTTTTCTACTCCATCATCAGAGACTACATCTTCAACCACAACCTCCTCTTCATTCTTCTTATCTTCCACATTCTTTTTCACCTGTTGAAGCACCAACCCACTTCTTGTCATGATTGCTTTGCAGTGCTCCTTAGGATTCACCATTGTATCACTAGGAAACTTCCCATGTGGTCTCTCAGATATTTGTCTTGATAGCTGACCGATCTGGGTCTCCAGATTCCTGATAGATGCTTTCTGATTTCTAAATGAAGTCTTGGTCTCTTGCATGAATGCAGATGTTTCCTCTCTGAATGAATTAGACCCCTGAATGTAATCTTGAGTAGTCTTGGATAACTGAGCAAAGGCTTTTTCCCATGCAGCAGTATCACTTGGTTGTGATGAGTGTGTTGGAGGAGGATGCAGTGGAGGATTCAACTGATGGTTGGAACTATAACTAAACCCTGGGTGCTGATTCTTGTTCTTCCATGGTGGCACATACACATTTCGCCCCTGGTTGTTGTAATTCCTCTGGTTGTTGTTGTCATACCACACTCCATTAACTTCTGCTTGCTCTGATGATCCCCCATAATCACATTCCTCTGTCACATGGCCCTTCCCACAGATAGCACACACGCACTTGGTGTCCACAGAAGCAACCTTTTGTGAGGATAGTTGCTTAATGAGAACATCCAACTGCTGTTGCTGTTGTCTCTGTGTCTGCATCAACTGGTCATTCCTTGCCAATAGGGCATCATACCCATCCAACTTAATGATCCCTGCCCTTCTGTCAGACAATGGGGTATTATCAAATTCCTGAGATGCCAATGATTCAAAGATATCCAAAGCTTCTTGAGGTGTCTTGGTGGTCAAAGATCCACCAGCAGTGGCATGCACCAATGTCCTAGTGTTGGTTGTCAACCCTTGGAGGAATATTGCTGCTTGATTCCACACTTCTATTCCATACTGTGGACATTTCCTCAATAAAGTCTTGAATCTCTCCCAAGCCTCATAGATGGATTCTGACTCTTTTTGCTTGAAGCCTGTAATCTCATCCTTCAACTTAGCCCTCTTGGATGCTGAGAAAAATCTCTACAAGAACTTGGTTTGCAAATCATCCCAAGTTGTTATGCTCCCCTGAGGCAATGATTGCAACCATCTCCTTGCATCATCCGTCAGTGAATGAGTGAATAGTCTCAACAGAATTGCATCCCTTGTAACACCATTAATTTTCACAGTATCACTCAACAGCAGAAAATTTTCTATATGCAAGTATGGGTCCTCTGCACTGGTTCCAGCAAACTGATCTTTCTGTACCAAATGTATCAATGCAGGCTTCAATTCGAAGTTGTTTGGTTCCACTGTAGGGCGCACAACACTCCCAATGGGAGGGATCACCTCTGTTCTGCTGGTGGTCTTTGGTTCTCTGCCATAACTTCTTCTTGGTTTACAGCACTGGTTTCACCCCTTTCTTGAAACTGTCTTCTTTGTCTGGCTGCCTTTTTGTTCTTCCTCACTGTCCTTTCTAATTCTGGACCATACAACAAAAAATTTGGATCAATGTTGCGGATCTAGCAAGTGTGCTACTCGCACAAGTAATAAAATGATGAGTAAAGATCATTCCCACGAGGATTTGTGTCAAGCACTGACTAACCATATGTATTTGAGTTGAATCAACCAAAAGATCATTGATTGCTTGATTTCTTGTCACCAGAAATAAGGTTGAATTGCATAAAATTAAGATTTAATAAAACAAATAAAATGTACTTATAATTTAAACAAGTAGTCAGATGTCATTTTCCCTCAAACATGAATTTATAGATGAACCAATTTCCATTATAAATTATCTACTATGTGATGTTGATCAACTTTTTTCTTATCATCTCAAGATGTAATCCCTTACTACCCTGATAGACACATTAATCAGAAACCCCAATCCCTTGGTGATTCCTTTCTTAATACATGCATTAATTACTAAGGTCTTAAGATCACATCAGAATCCAAGCATCAATCCCTTGACTACTAGAACACTGATGATGAAGTTGTCAAAAATAGAGAAACAATGTAAACATATCTGTTCTACACTATTCCTCAACATGAAGAATTAATCAAGACAACTTCATACAATCATATAATAGATAAACAAAACATCTAATTAACCATTCATAAATTCAAACTTGAGTTCCATTGAATCAGACTACAAAGGACTCTCCTAAGACATAATACAAATAATAACAAGAGAAGAAAGATCAAACTCCATTGACATGATAGTTGAGTCTTCAATCTCCAAGTGCAATTACGTAGGAAATACTAACTATTACAAGAACTAATCCTAAGAATTTGGAAATTCAGGGAAAATGAGGAGTCAGATCAGATCTATGAAAGACCTGATCTGATCTCCCTTCTCCTAGTGTGATGAGAAAAGTCAGAATGAGATAGGATAGGATTGGATTGTGTGTCAGAGTATGAAGGCCCCTTGTCCTTTTATAGTTTACAAATTACAACTGAAAACTGACTCTGGCGCTAAAACGTTCACTTATGGGCGTTTTAGCGTCCAACTTTGACAGATGCCCAACTGCTTTGAACTAACTTGAACGCTAAAACGTTCATGAATGGCCGTTTTAGCATCCATGCCTTGTGAATGCTCAACTGTCCTCAATTGACCCCACCGCTAAAACACTTGGTTTGGACGTTTTAGCGTTGGAGACCAGAGGCTTTTTCCAACATCAGGGCGTTAAAACGTTCGTTGAAGGAAGTTTTAGCGCCCAAGACCAGCAACTGTTCATCCTCGGAATGCAGAATCGCGCTAAAACGTTCTGTGTGGACGTTTTAGCGCTCAGCACCAGCAAGTTTTGGCCTCTTTCTGCAGCAGGGCGCTAAAACGTTATGTGTGGACGTTTTAGCGCTCAACACTTAGGCATTTTTCTCCTCTTCAAAATCTCCTTCCTTCTCCAGTTGCCTTTTTAGGTTGCTTTTCCTACAAGAACAATACAAATTCTCAATAAAGCTTCTTGAACTTGTAGTTGAGGAAATTCTAAGATATTAACCTCTTTTTTCATCATTTAATCACACAAATTTATACTAATTCATGCTCAAAAACCTGATGAACTAAGGGTTCATCAATCAACCTTACCTCGCATACACCAGAATTAAAATTGACCAAGAACTTAACTAAAAGTAAAATGCTGAAAATAAAAGATTCAACCTCAGATTTCTATGGTATCAATCAATGTTGAAAAAAAAAAAATCTCCGGCAACGGCGCCAAAAACTTGTTGCGGATCTAGCAAGTGTACTACTCGTACAAGTAATAAAATGATGAATAAAGATCGTTCCCACAGAGATTTGTATTCAAACACCAATGAACCATAGAAAACTAATTTGAATTACACAAAGGTTTGTAAAAATCATGAAATTTTTTGTCACCAAAAAGTTGATTTTTACATTAATCTAATACTAAAAATTTGAATTAAGATTTATAAAAACAAGTAGTCAGAAAACAACTTTCCTCAACAATAAACTCATATAAACTGATCATATGATGAACTCTTTTTCATGTGATGTTAATCAACCTTTTACTTATCCTCAAGATGTAATCCCTTACTACCCTGATAGATACATTAATCAGAAACCCCAATCCCTTGGTGATTCCTTTCTTAATACATGCATGAAATACTAAGGTCTTAAGATTACATCAGAACTATAACATCAATTCCTTGAGTACTATAATCCTGATGATGAGATTGTCAGATATAGGAGTAGTGTAAACATTCTTGTTCTACACTCCTCCCTCAGTAGAAAGAATTGAATCATAAAATCTCATATCAACACATGAAAAACACTTCATCATATTAATCAAACATACATAAGAATATCATTAAGTTCCATTGAATTCAGACTACAATGACTCTACTCAGACATAACTAAGGAAGATATAAGAGAAGAAATATCAAACTCCATTTCCATGTAGTGAATCTTCAATCTCCAAGTGAAATTACAATAGAAAACTAACTAATACAAAGACTAAGTCCTAAGAATTTTAGAGAGAAGTCAGATCAGAAAATCTGATGTAGGAGAGAGAGAGAAACTCCAGATCCTCTAAAATGTGAAGGCCTTTGCCTTATATAGTTTTACAATTTAAAACAGAAATTTAATATGGGCGCTAAAACGTTCAGAATGAGCGTTTTAGCGTCCATGCTTGACGGATGCCCAACTGTTTTCAACTAACTTGAACGCTAAAACGTTCATGAATGGCCGTTTTAGCGTCAATGCCTTGTGAATGATCAACTGTCCTCAACTGACTCCACCGCTAAAACACTTGGTTTGAACATTTTAGCGTTGGAGACCAGAGGCTTTTTCTAACATCAGGGCGCTAAAACGCTTGTTACAGGAAGTTTTAGCGCTCAAGACCAGCAACTTTTCATCCTCGGAATGCAGCAGCGCGCTAAAACGTTCTGTGTGGATGTTTTAGTGCTCAACACCAGCAAGTTTTGGCCTCTTTCTGCAGCAGGGCGCTAAAACGTTCTGTGTGGACGTTTTAGCGCTCAACACTTAGGCATTTTTCTCCTCTTCAGAATCTTCTTCCTTCTCCAGTTGCCCTTTTAGCTTGTTTTTCCTACAAGAACAATACAAATTCTCAATAAAGCTTCTTGAACTTGTAGTTGAGGACATTCTATGATATTAACCTTTTTTCCCATCATTTAATAAAAGAAATTGATACTAATTCATGCTGAAAAACCTGATGAACTAAGGGTTTATCAATGCCAAGCCACGCAACGTCCAGCCTATTGGCCTCAGCATATAGCCTACGAGTTTCAAACCAAGGAGTGTTCCCAGAACATCAACCAAGGCACCCTCCATCCATATCCACCCGAGACTTCCTAGTGTGCTCCTATACGGATAACACACCACGACCACAGGTCAACTGGAACTCCCTCACGGAGACCTATCCAGTGGAAGTCCGTAACGCCCGAAGGCAAACAGTCTGCTGGCCAGAGACTCGGTACATCCTATGTACCACTATACATACAATATGCATGAACATGTTATACTACATTATTCATATACATTTCCCACCATTACCCTCAACGGGCATGGTGGAGCACACACAGGGATCAAACCCCAGTACCAAGGGATTACCTGAATAATCACCTTCTCACAGCTCCAATGCAATACGTTCCTGAGCTAGTTACCAACAGAAATGCCTACACATAGGACATTCCCAATTTAATTTCCATTCACCAAATACATGCAAGTTATTAAGCATACATGCACGGTTCAAGAGTACTTACCACAATACCTTTGGTCCGGGACCAAGGGCAACCCATCGAGCTCAAGGTTCAGTGCTCAATTCTGCGGGAGGCAACCTACAATGATCACACAAGGATCATCAATACAGAGTGCAATCAACCAAGATTTCAAAACGTCAACATCCTCCCCTACACAATGGTAGGTTTGGCCATATAGGTGTTAATTTCCAAAATATTTTCCTAAATTTTCTTTTTATTTTTCTTTAGCATCATAATGCTACCACAACACCATTTTAGGTGCCACATTCCATCCTACACCATCACAATACCATTTTTCCATTTATTCCACACTAGGTTCAATTGTAAATTCCACCCAACCAAGTATTTTCCCTTTTATTTTTCATGCATCCATTCACCACACAACACCTCAAAATACCATTTAACACTACACAACATCCATTACACAATTTTTGCATCAT